AGGCCAGGCGACTGGTCCTCCACGGCCGATCCATCTTTCTGGATAATTTTCGTCCAGCCAGTTTCTAACTATTCTCAATAATGAGATGGACAATCATCAAGCTGGAACCAGGCCAATCTTCTTAAATCTAACATAACATCATCCCACATATTTGCATGTTCAGCCTTTAAAAATTCCAAGAAGGTCGCAGCATTTAACCTTGCAGGCAAAAGGTAGGGTCCAAATAGTCGATTACGGTAGATACCAATCCACACGTTCACACTTAATTCATGCTGAAAATTTCTTTCCCGAACTGCGTGCGGATTTTCATGCGATATGTTGATTATGAAAATTTACCACTCCACGTCTAGTGAAGCATGACTCATCGGTCCATAAAACGTTACTTAAAAACTCCATATTATTATCAGTTCTATCAAGAATCCAACAAAATGTGATTCTTCGTTCTCCATCCCCTGGCTGTAGTCCTTGCACAGGTTGCAAATGGTAAGGACGTCTATGGTCATTTCTAAGAACACGGTGAACATGGCTTGCTGAAATTCCTAAGGCACCAGAAACTCTCCTAACACTTGTGGCTGGATCTCTATCAAACTCACGCAGAATCATACGGGTAAATCTGCACTGACGAACGTTTATGTTTTGATCCCGTTGGAGATTTCCAAAACCATTTTCAATTATTTGGCGATGCACTCTTACAAATACTGAGCGAGTTGGATGTCGTCTGTTTGGAAATCTTTATGCGTATTCTCTGGATGCTTCTGCTGCGTTTCCATTTACAAAGCCATACAAAATGAATATCCGCTAACTCCTGATTGGAGAATAAAAATGACATTTTTATAAAACTTAACAAAAAAAAAACAGGTGAAAGGAACTAAATTTCGTGCATTCACAATTGCAAAAAACGTTTCAGGTTTCAACAGACAACAATACTAACTGTCAACTAATTGACGTTTAACCTTATTCTGCTTTCAGTTTCAAAATATTTGCAGGCAGAGCCTACTTCTAAAAATCATCGAGACACTGACTTTTTAACGTTATTTTATCATAAATAATTAAAGATGCATTGAACTTTAGAAATCGAAATATCTCAAAAACGGCAAACTATAACGAAAATTCACAAGAGAGCTTTTTTATGTTGAAAAGTGCGAAGAATCAGTTTTTTTATTCAAAAAGCAAAAAATTGCACTAAGAAAAATTTGTCGGTCATTTTAATACACTACAGGTACAGTAGAGAGCGCCCTCTAGCGGCTACAGTAAAACTATGCCCATGGTTCGTTTTGTCGTACCAAAAATCCCTTGTTTACCAATTTTCACTGTTATACGTGAAACATTGTTCGAAATATTTAAAAAAAACTATTTTAGAAAGTAAATCTGAACACCCTGTATTTCGGAAGCCACGCATTTTTCGACCCATGTTTATATAGACTTTATGCATTAATTTTAAAGGTGCTATCGAATCTTAAAGTTATGCAACAATAAACTGAAACACCCTGTATATTTAGACACTTTTGTTTGAAAGCTTGAGATGAAGGAGGTTCATTGTTGTTCAATTGAAAGGAAAAGTCCAATCTATGGTTCATTTTATGATGGTTTTAAAAAATATTTTTTATTTTATTTATTTTTTGCTTTTTCATATTTATGATATCAAATAACTAGTTTGGTAATTTCAATATAGATTTCATTTGTTTTATTAATAGGACTGCATAAAATTCCTCACTCTGTTTGTATTATAAAATGTCAATAAACATAAATTATATCATCATAAATCGATAATCTGCTGTGATTGCCAATGACAACGCGTTGCATGTTATGTTCTTTTTAATTTGATACCTGTATCACAGGAATGACTATGATAATTATAAGCGCTATCACGAGGCGGTCGCCATATTGGATTTAGAATGACGTCACTTTGCTTATAACGTTTTTCTCTTCAAGGCGGTTAATTTGACACCATCATAGGAGTGACTGTGCAAATTTTAAATCGCCATTTTCTTTGAAATCTGACGCAGTCCCAAACTATAAACATTCTTACACAAAAAACAAATAACTATCAACTAAACATGGAAACATATAAATGAATCCTAACAGTTTTTCCAAGTAAGGTCATGAGACGACATGTACTTATCTAAGGAACATGGCAACCAATAAAGAGACAATTTCGCCGCATGGCATCCTCGGCAATACACAAGAAAGTAAATTGATATTGCGGGATTGCTACATACGAGCCGCGGATCGATATACCGTTTAATGTTCAGAGCGTAAAATCAGAATCGATACATTATTACCTCCTGTTGAAAATGAAATGAGCCTTAAACGTTGTCCAATTAATTGTAGTGTTTTTGTAGATAAGCTCCGTTGAATCGAGGAAATGTTTCACACGCGATAGCAACCTGGTCACGCGAATGGACATTCAAATTTCAGTAGTAAGCTATATTAGGTAGAATATGGATGACAGCTGATGTCTACTAACTATCGTTCTAATTGCTCAATATGCCTAGTGCTCTACGAACGACAACATAGGAAAGAATGGATTCATGATGCTTCATTTGATGATACCAGTCCACGATATACTGATGACAAAAACGTCCCTGTATCTTAATAGCTATGCGTTTTTGATAACAATCTTTCTATTTTTACATGAGCTTTGAATGTCTTTGTTCAATTCTGTATCAGGCTTTCCATATGTATCTTGTATTGTGTCATGTGGAAATTGTTTTGTACCGAGACTTCGAGTTCCGGATGCTCCGCTGTTCGATTTTCGTGCGCCGGCGCGGATGACGTCACGCGGAGAGTGATTATCACCTGGGTTGATATGGATAACGTGCATATATTCACCTACAGGCCAAATGGCTTGATAGATTTTTACATATATGATGTGTCATTGGATTCGTCTTAGCGGTACCACTGACACTAGATACAACAAAATTTTATACAAAACAAAAAGGCGGATTTTAATAAAATATTTCAACCTTGTAATTCATATTTCATAGGCTACAGCTCAAGCGGCTTGATAGATTTTCACATATATTAGTAAAGCATTTGATAGGCTGGACCTTCATCTGCTACTAGCAAAACTTGATAGAATGGGCTTTTCAGATGATTTAGTATGCTTTTTGAAATCCTATCTGTCCAACCGTAAGCTGTATGTGGAATTCAAGAGATCCAAATCTCAAAAGTTTCCTCCAACATCAGGTGTTCCACAGGGATCATCGCTAGGGCCACTTCTTTTTATCATATTTATCAATGACATTTGTGACGTTATTGATTGCAAATATCTCTTATATGCCGATGATCTTAAAATTTATACTCAGGTTAGCAACAGCACCGATTGCGAACGTCTCCAAGATAATCTCAACAGAATAATAATTTGGTGCGATAATAATAACCTATCCATGAATGCGTTAAAGTGTACCAACATGACGTATTCCAGAAAACAACGCTCCATAGAATATCATTATAAGGTTAATCAAACAACGCCGCCAAATCTAAGAGAATTCAAAGATCTTGGAGTCACCTTTGACACAACCCTCAGTTTCAATCCGCATATAAATTACCTAATAAATTCTGTAAATAAAAGTCTAGGTTTTGTATTGCGCAACTCTCGTGACGACTTGTGACTCATTAGAAAAAATACAACGCAAGTTTCTGAAATATCTGTCCTACAGGATAGATGGTATCTATCCAAAAATAGGTGTTCCTCAAGATGTATCATTAAAGAGGCACGGTACGCTAAGCTTAGACCACAGAAGAAAAATGCACTCACTAATATTCTTATTCAAGGTTATTCACAACCAATATGCTTGTCCGGATATTCTAAGTCGCCTGTCGTTTAATATACCAAGATGTCTCACCAGAAACATCCTAATGTTTTATTTACCAACCCGCAGGACCAACTTACTGCTGCATTTTCCGCTATATTTCATGTTTACCTGTTTAAACAATCTACAAAACAGAATTGATATATTTAATACAAATGTGACCTCTATTAAGATCCTCTTCAAATCTGTTATATAATTGTGTAGTTTTGTGACTGTTATATTTCTTATTGTTACTTATTAGATATTGGTGCACTCTGGACACCCCCCACCACTTCCACTTTTTGGCCACGCCCACCACATCCACCGCGTGCTCTGACTGGCGGATCAAACGGCGGGAAATTTGAACGGGGTTGATGGTATATGTTGATTGGCGGGAACCGCTAGATCCACCGCGTGCTCTGATTGGTGGATCAGACGGCGGGAAGTTTGAACGGGTTGATGGTATATGTTGATTGGCGGGCCCCGTTAGATGCGCCACCGACCGGAAGTGATTCAGACAGCCGACGATAGTGTGTGTAGTATAACGTCTATGCGTAAGCGATGTGACTCATTTTATGTTTTGCGGTAAATATTTGCATATATTAATTACTTCAGGTTTGTACTATGTTAACTTCTGTTCTCCCACCAATAATTGGCTTATCTGTTGGTGGTGTAAATAAATAAATAAATAAATAAATAAAATATGAGGTGTCGTTGGATTCAATTTTATTTAAATTGTTATCAAACTGTTGCCCCATAAAAAAAATATGTTTTCAAAGACTATTGTACTGTTTTTTCGTCGATGGTCTCTCATCGTGAACTCTCTGTTACTAAGAAAAGCCCTTATCCACTTCAACAGATCTCCAGTTATTGCAAGGTGTTCCAGCTTGTACAGAAGGTGCGCGTGTGGTACTCGATCGAACGCTCTAGAAAAATCTAGGTGTCTTACATCTACAGGTATGTTGATGTCTATCATTTTAGTCCTAGTCACATTTTTGAGCAGGTTTGGCTGTGCAGATATTATTTTTAGTAAAAAACTTGAGCATTTTGTGTAGTAGATGGCGTTTGTTAAATTTGCTTGTGTTGTAAAGTGAGTGGACTAGTGTCTCCTGCTTTGGGTGGTTTAAGGGCCGACTCAGGATTGTGATTCGTTCTGTGTTAATTGCTAATTTTCTTCGTCGAACATCTATACAATCGCCATTTGTAATGGGTTTGTTAACGACAGACATACGTGAAATAAAATCAGCTATTGTCAGCACATTTAACGAGAAATGTCTGCAAGAAATTATTGAAAAAGTCACATCTGCTGTAGAGAGGAAGATTAAAGAGAAACTCAACTCTCAAAATCAACAAATTAAGACCCTCACTAATAATACAGAGGAGCTGCGTAAGGAAAACGATAGCCCGCGCAAAAGTATGGAGTCTCAGGAGCAGGCAGGGCGCAGCATGAATATACGTATACGAGAAATAGATGTCCAAAAAGACGAAAACATTCGGTCACGAGTCATTCGCCTATTTACGAACACGTTAAAAATAAACTTCCAAAATTCTGATATAAAAAAGTGGCACCGAGTACCGTTTAAGAATCCCGGAAATAAGCCACCTGCAGTGCGGATTCGGTGCGTTTATCAGTGCCGAAAGATAAACAGAACTTACAAAACCCTGGTATGTCTATAAAGGGGATTTCACAAAAACGCGTTTATTATTACTTAATAGTGCTATAAATGCCTTTTCATATAAAAATGATTGGGCTTTAAATGGTAACATTTACGTAAAACATAACAATGAAGTTCATCGTGTATCACAGGAGGCTGTCATTCAAAAAGTAATTAGCAAGCAATAAACCATAAACTGTGAGTGCTCTTTGTATAATTTCTATAACGGTTTGTAGGGCTTTTGTTTTGTATCTGTTCAACACATATTTGTGTATTGTTATCTTGCTTAAGAAGACTATTTTTTCCTCTACTCTTTTTGCTTGCAATACATATTAATTTGTAAATACCAAATGATACTGTTATATTTTTGTGTTAAAGTATTTAAAAATTAACGTAACTGGGCAATAGACACATCTGCATACTGTATACGTGGTATAGGCCTTATATTTGTGGCATCTGTATTTAAACTCCAATTGGAATATATATATATATATGACTTTGAAGTTGAGTCATTAATTTTCAGATAATGATTGTAGAAGGAAGATAAACCAAAATAGGTGTGTAAAAATAAAAAATAATTAAAAAAAAATGTTACCTTGTTTTATAAAGTATCCTCCCGACAAGTATTTCAGTGCGGACCTGTATTTAATCGTGCGGTCTTGGAGCACCGGCATGCCCTCCCCTGTGAGGTCTTAAGTCACCTGATTCACGAGCCCTTTGTACTACATTAACAAACGCACGCGGGGTTGGTTGCACTCGATTGGGAAACCGATCCGCATAAATCCGTGATGCCGCGTAAATAAGAATCATGTCCACAAGTTCAGCATTTTCGTAAGCATGTGCCATTTATGATTTCGTTTGAGCCACGCAACAGACACCACTATTCACTCACGCGTTACCGACTGACACTGACTGTATACAACTGAAAAAATAATTGTAAAAACATCGTTCCAAATTCATTCGCTTTCTTGTTTCCGATGCGATGAACCGATAAGGCGGATTATATCCGTTGTTGCCAAACACGAGCATAATATTATTATTGAGACAGGGCGGTACTCAAACTTCCAAAGGGCTATAACTTTGCTACTTTAATTTTACCAGAAAAATGGTAAAGGAAAAAAACATTTCTTTTGATCAGATCTACTTACTGTTAAAATAAATGACTCAACTTCGAAGTCACCCTATATATATTCATGATGATGATAACTGTATCAATCAGAAGACAGAGCGTCATTTACTCATATTTGCTGAACTGCGAAAGTAGGAGCACTTACACATCTCTAAAAATTTTGACCTTTCACAACCATAAATGGAATCTGTTTTTTGGTCTATTCCACCAAAAAGTTCCATTCCATTCAAATTTGAATAAATTTTTGTTTGTCATTAAAATAAAATAATAACTGTTAATTCAATTGGATATGTCATCAATAATATATTTAGATCAACTGCCTCTGGTCGTTTTGACAAATTCTTACCCAATATCTCCTGAAAATCAAACACCATCTGAAGTGATTTGGCAACATAGCACACACCTTACAAAAGAATTTTCGTTCCATCGATCTACACGGATACTACTAACCTTATGCCATCTGTCAAAGGTTCTTCTTACTCATGATTCTATGCCCACCATTTTGTGCAATCATCAAGTGGTTCATGATGTAATGTTTTACCTTTCGTTTTGAATATTTTTAATCTATTTTAATTTGTTCTTAGCATACAGCTGTGTTTTGTTATTTCGACTAATGTACCATGTTTCCGGCTTTCAGTGTTTTCCTCATCTTCAACGTAAATAAATAACATTTAGCAACATCCTCACATACTACTGTGAGTTAATCTAAATTCATTTTGCACAATTGTTGCTATTTTTCTTAATGTTAGTACAGCTCCTGATGATGATGATGGCAAAGACCATTGAAAGCTAGAGAGATTAAAAAAGTATAAAGAGCCCTTCTTGCTTAAATTTTGTCGAAGTATCCAACAAAAGGCGGAAGCTTTAGTTTTTCACCTAACTGGTCTAGACGACAATGACCACGTCTCAAGTTATATATATATATATATATATTTGTTTATGTATTTCTGGTACTTATACTGGTTTTCTTTCTTTAAATATTGGTTACTGTGATTATATTAAAAAACCATGCTTTTAAAATTGGTCACTTGGATGTACGATCTCTGTTCACTAATTTTAATGTGACTTGGTTAAAAACTGTTGACGATTCTAATATTTTTAATATCCCTAATTATAAATTTATTAGAAATTACCGCCTGGGTAGGGGTGGTGGAGTAGCGGCCTACGTAAAGACAGAATTTGCAGTACAAATGTTAAACTTGGATTTCGAAACTAATGTACAACTTGAGTGCTTTATATTTAAATTATAAATTAATAACAAAAAATACGGTTTTTGTGTTTTTTACAGACCACCAAAGCTTAATTTTAATGATCAAATTCCTGATTTTGATAACATATTTTCCTGTCTTCACCCTTTAGTTGATGGAATTATTTGTCTGGGAGATTTTAATTGCAACTTATTCAACCTTCAAATTCCACTGGTACCCCTTTTTGAAAATTATAATCTTACGCAGATCATTAGTGAACCTACACGCATTTCTGGAATGGTTAGTACTCTGCTTGATGCGATTTGTCACTGACTTGTCGATAGTGGCTAGGTCTGGGGTTTTATCGGCGGATAATATTTCAGATCATAAATTGATTTACTGGGATCTTAATGTTTCAAAGAAAAGAAATCACCAAAAATAAAACATCGTTCTTCTAAAAATTTTTTCCTGAATAATTTTCTAGCAGATATGCAAAGTTTGCCGTGGAATAATATATTATATGAGAATAATATTGATAATAAAATAACTATTTTAAGTAATCTAATTTTTACATTGTTTAGTAAGCATGCAGCAATAAAAGAATCACTAATCACAGAATTTATGAAACAAAGAGATCCAACACTGCAAAAATTCAAAAAATCAAAGCTTCAATCAGACTGGGTAGATTATAAACATTTAAGAAATTGTACTTTATCGTTAATAAGAAGAGAGAAAAAGGAATACATAGAATCTTTTGAAGGTAACTCCAAAAAACTGTGGTCAGTTTTAAAAAGTTTTAATATCTGTTCTACAAAAAATAATAAAATTCCCCGGTCTTTATCAGTACCTAATGATATTAATAGCTTTTTTGCTGCTGTTCTACAAAATAAATTTAACTGTTGTGAAAAAAATAATTTTTAGAAACAATGCCTATAAAAATAACTTAATCTTTAACTTTAAATTAGCAGAAATAACAAATACAAACAAAATTTCAAACAACATAAAAAGTAATGCAACGGGGATAGATTATATTTCGCACTTATCGTTAAAATATTGTAGTCCCTACATAGATAAGTATATAACGCATATTATAAACTGTTCCATTGAAACAAGCTACTTTCCCGACAAGTGGAAAATCTCCATAGGAAAACCATTACCAAAATAACTAATCCATCAAGTTTTAATGAACTTCGTGTGATAAGTATACTTTCTGCTTTGTCAAAAATATTTGAAAGCGTGCTTGTACGAACACATTTATGACTTTTTTATGAGTAACAATATTATTCGTGGTACTCAGTGTGGTTTTCGTAAAAATTTTGGTACATCAGTGGTTCTAACAAACGTAATCGATGACATATTAAGAGCAAATGATAAAAAGGTCAGTTCAGTTTTTGGTAGTTCTAGGCTTTCCAAAAGGCTTTGACACCATTAATCATGAATTGTTGGTAGCTAAATTTCAGTACTATGGCTTTAATAAGGAAGCATGTTTATTTTTAAAATCATATTTGACAGGAAGGTATCAATCGTTTCTATCAAATGACACATTTTCAGACAAAGCGGAGATCATATCGAGAGTTCCTCAGGGATCAATATTGGGCCCCTTGTTATTTTTAATTTATGCGTCTGATATCCTTACGTCTTTAAAGTTTTGTAAAGTTCAGGCCTTCGCGGATGACACCCAGGGTTATTGTTTTTCTGATCTTGAGGATTACAAATATTACGAGAATGGTATAAATGAGGACATTAACACCTTGTACAATCTCTCATTAGGTCACAACTTAAAACCTAATCCGGAAAAATCGCATGTAATGATTTTTGGTAGCAAATCTAAGACTGAGTTTTTGAAAGCTAATCTCAATATAATGACTGTTAATTCAAAACTGAATTTTGTTGAGGGTAGAAAAAATCTCGCTATAGTTTTAGATTCTCAGCTTGGATTTAAAGATCATCTTATACAAAAATCATTTTGTTCTCTAAAAGTTTTGTCTAATAACAGACACATACTAAACAGATCACTAAAAAAAATTCTGTGAATCCCTATTTCTTTCCAATCTCAATTAATGCGATTTTTTCTATGGGTTTTGCGTAGATCAGGCAAGTAGAGGTCGTATTCAGGAGGTACAAAATGCGTGCCTCAGGTTTATCTATCGTCTGCGTATGTTTGATGATATATCTCATTTGTATAAAGAAATTAAATGGCTCAAAATGAATGAGCGCCGCACTCTCCATTTTTCTAGTTTTTTATTAAAAACTATCAACACTCCAGGTTCACCTGATTCTATAAGAGAACGCTTAATTTTCCGACATTCTGATCATGATATAAATGTATGATATTTGAAAAACTTAACTATTCCGCTAGTGCATTGTTTCAACGTTCATTCTCATGCAGTGCTGTTAAACAATTTAATTCAATTCCCAACCAGTTTCTTAATCTTCCTCTTTCAAGTTTCAAAATACAATATAGGAAATATTTGCTAAATACAAATCAGAACAACCTTCTTTGTCAAGCAAATTCAATAGTAACCAGTAACCAAATTTTATAGTGACCAGTATTAATTAATATCTTGTTGAAATTTCAATTTACTTTCAGTCCAATTAGTGTTAACACGGGATTATTATTATGATTCTTCTGTATTGCTGTTTGAGGACTTATTACTATTATTATTTTTTTGTCTTATTTTGGTTAAGTAGAGTAGTTTTAAGCTAGACTTGCGTCAATATTAGGCAATGTATTCTGTACTTTTTTCTAAATTACTTTTGTAAAAAGATTATTTGTTGTATTCAATAAAGTCATTTATTATATATTATTATTATTTAACCGAGAATCATTTTTTTGGCTACTTATGGGAGAGTTGTTAAAATGGCGGTGTTCCTTCATCCTTATTCTTTCCTATCATGAAGTCACCCCTGAAAGAATCTCATTTTTCATTTTGCAGCGGCGCCAGGTTCGAACATCCTCATATGTCACAATTTATTTGCGAGCAGCGTCTCACATTTTACTACTTTTCCATTTTATCACGCCACAAAAATATGTTCGCCGGAACATTAAGCTTACATTTTCATTTTTTACCCATTCGGTATACTACGCCCCACGGACAATTGTTTATGGTGCCGGTGTATGGTTCATGAGGACATAAAACAATATTTTTACTGGTGCTTCGCTATTTACAGAGTTTATGTGGGTTGCTTTGTGTCTGTTTTATGGTTTTAATTCGAGGTGTCCCAAGCGGTGTCTCAATATCTCACCTGTTCTCGCGAATATGGCGAGAGGATTGTCAGATTGTTGGATTACACTGCAGTGCAGACAGTGTGTTGGCGTAGTGCCTAGTGTCTAATAAGCTAGTCGCCGCGAGTTGGGTTCGAATCCCGTCCGAGAACATGTTGTCTCCTGGCTATGGATGTTTTTATTGTTAGAATAGAATGATGCACTTATTTAGTATAAGAGATAAATATAAGTACTAGTTTGCCTTAGTAGAATAATATAAATAGAAAAAAAAAATTGTTTTCATTTGCAAAAGTTAAATAAAAATCTAAAAGAATTGAGGCATTTTTTAAATAAACTTTCGTTTTTTTTTGTATTTATACAAGCTTATGATCTGCTGTAGAAGTACTTTTCAGGTTGTACAAAATCAGGGGCTTTCAAACAAATACCGAGACGGAAACGCATGACACGGTTTTTTTTATGGGCCGTGTAGATATTGCGATCGCATCGCCGTCTCATTCCTCCTGGGCGTGTAAAATACAGGGTTGCCAATGTATAACTGACTGATCTAAATTATACATGAATGTTTCCAATTCATAATGAAGCGCTACACGATCCCACAACGCGTCGGTATTGTTAAAACGCTTTACTTAAATAACAGTCGATTGTTGCGACGATTCGGAAGGTACGACAAGACTGCGGTCGAAGTAATGTGCCCAGTGTCAACATGATTCGTCAGTCGGTGCGGATATTTGGACAAACAAGTGCAGTTGAAGACTTTTCAAGAGTGGAGCGCCCGCAGACGTCTACCAGACATCGTTCTCAAGAACTGGGTATTCGTCGCACGTCATTATGCACTATTTAAAATACGGTTAACCCAAGAACTGCAGCCTAGTGACTTTGAAAGTCGCCGACAATACAGTAATGCGAGCTTAATTAATATCTAGGTTTTTGGGATTTAAAAGTTAGCTCTCCGCACACATAACAAAAACTATTTACACAAATTCTAGTCACTGTCCATGAAGCTAGTCTCGATCATAATAAACTGAAAACAACACACCGCTTTAACAAAAATTAACAGTACTCAGAATCACTCAGTACTGTTCAACATAGAAAACGTAACTGACTTGGCTGCTATTAGTCTACTACTAAACTCAATACGCTCTGTAAGCATAGAGCTCGCACATAATAAAGAGGAATAGACAAGTCTTAACATTATATATGCGCGTCATCGCATAAACGCCGAGATGCTACGTATTGTAATTCATAAAAGTAGATGTTACCGGATACGTGTGGATGATAGAAAAATTCTGTTTTTAGATTTGATTTAAGGGTCCCAAAATACATAAGATACGTGCAAAAGATGTCACAAATCCTGTGTTTATCAGTGTTATCTTTCAAACATAATAAAAATGATAATAATATTTTTTTGTACGAACAAAGCAAATTAACATAGAGTACTCGCATAAGGCGGGTATTTACCCGTACAAAACATTGTCACTACATATTGATATATTTTGGGTTGTCGGAAAAGTCATGACGTATATGCAACAAAGTATGCAATTGCATGGTTGGAAGTACGTGAGTCAATGACATTTGTATGTTGATTGTGTAGTTTGACAGTTGACACTTCAAGCTTCATTTGCACCAAAAAATTAAGTGATTTATTTGAGTCTCGTCGATTTTAGAGGACGTTGAAGATGGACGACCAAACTGTGCATTTTCGTCACATTTTGCTGTATTACTTCCGCAAAGGCAAGAACGCAAGACAAGCGTGTGAAAAGTTGAGAAAGGTTTATGGAGAACATGCACTACAAGAACGGCAATGCCAGAGATGGTTTAAAAAATTCCGAGATGGGGATTTTGATATCCATGACGCACCTCGATCAGGGCGGCCTACTGAGTTGGATAGTGACGAATTAAAGGCATTGGTAGGAGCAAACCCACATTACACCACACGGGAAATTGCAGAAACCTTAAAAATCCATCATTCAACCGTTCACGACCATTTGAAGAAACTGGGATACGTAAGCAAACTCGATCGTTGGGTACCACACGAACTGAGAGAGGTTCATTTGACGATATGCGATATGCTCCTTAAACGTGAGGAAAACGATCCTTTCTTAAAGCGCTTGATAACGGGAGATAAAAAGTGGATTGATTACAACAATGTGGTTCGCAAACGGTCTTGGTCCCGAAGTGTAGATACGCGTAACACGATCGCGAAAGCAGAGAGTCATCAGGAAAAGGTGATGCTCTCTGTTTGGTGGGATTTTAAAGGGATCGTGTTTTTCGAACTCCTGCCAAAGAACCAAACCATCGATACAACTGTGTATTGTCGGCAATTGGACAGTTTGCAACAATCCATCATGCAAAAACGTCCGGAGCTCATTAATCGCAAAGGAGTTGTGTTCCACCATGACAACGCGAGACCGCACACAAGTTTGCTCACTCGTCAAAAGTTATTGGACTTAGGATGGGATGTGTTACCACATCCAGCATACTCGCCTGATCTTGCCCCATCTGATTTTCATTTGTTTCGGTCGCTTCAAAATTCCTTGCGAGAAATACGCTTTACTTCAGATGAAGGTGTACATCAGCACCTTGTTCAATTTTTTGCCGGTAAAGACAAATCCTTCTACGAGCGAGGAATTATAAAGCTGCCTGAAAGATGGCGAAAGGTCATCGATCAAAATGGGCAATACATTATTGATTGAAGTTTGTGCTGTATATGAATAAAATGGCCTTAAAATAAACAAAAAAAGCGTCATGACTTTTTATTTATACAATATTATAATTGCTACGTTTCAATAAAAGATTAAGATGAAAGAAATGGACGTATTTTATTTCATATCACAAATATTCAAAATACAGTCACTTACATATCGGCCACCCTGTATAGCGGACCATATTTCTCAACTACCTTATGACAAAATGTCACGATATACTGAAGACGTCCCATAAAATCTCATTTCATAACCCGACTATGATAGTCAACGCATACGTGTTTGTAAAGTTTAAGGGTTGCCGAGGCATTAAAACGAATAGGTGCCACTGCTGCTACCTGCCTAATATTCACACGACCCTCGTATATGGTATAAAGGGATGTAAAAGCATATTTTACGGTATTCCCGCAAGTTTATGTTTCTTCCATAACGGTTGTTTTCTGTTTGCTTTACGATTTTAATTCGAGGTGTCTCTGACACGTTGCTAACCAGATGCGCAATAGTAAAGATTTTACTATGGAATTGTTATCTGCCAGCATCCCACATAAAACGACATTGTTTCATATTGCGGGTACCGTTTGCAAGGTAGCATTCAAACAAGAATAGCAATATTTCGAAACGTTGCTATGAATACGAGTATATATCTATGGTATTAATTTGTAGACTTTATATACTTTTGATGAATGCAGGAATCAAAGCAGCAATTCACAATGTGACTCCTTGAAATTGAGATAAGGAGACTATTCGAACGCAACAATAGAAAATTTGATGGCTGGGCTGGGAATGGAACGGCTTCCAGGTGATAGCCCTTTTGAGGCTTTTTAAGATTAATTACATTATATCCCTAGTATTTTAAAGTGTATCTAACGAAGCTACAAAGTAATCGTAAACAGTGGTTGATTCGTGATCAACGCGTGATCGGTAGACATGGCGCTGTGTCGGCCTCTTCCTGATTGGCTTGTAGCGACGAGCCTCCAGACAAAGTCGCACGGTTGCCACGCTCGGCGAGTTTTCGCCAGAGTGGTTGATCACATTCGCATGGATCACAAATCAATCTGTTGGTGCAATACGTGCAATAACTGTTGTAAAGGACATTATATAACAATAAATGGCATCACAAAGGTATATTCCAATTTGATCTGCAGCAAATTATGAACGGCATATACGGAGATGCGAAAACAAGCTCAAAAAGGTGAAGAAAATTTTTGTGCAATCTTTATAGTTAAATTTTTCCTAAGAGATAGCATCAGTGAGGGCATTTTTTTCTATTGTCTTATTTTTCACATTAATGCGATGTCGAGGTATGTGGCCCTATCGCAATTGAAAATAAGGTTTCGATAATACTTCCATAAAGTTTCGATGAGTACATCTGAAATAACCTTGAGATATTCTTCAGGGAAATAGAAAAATCTCCTTTTGTGTTTTTTTGTGCAGATTTATCTATTAAAATCCTATCCGCAATCTATTTTCCGTGCACACACCTTCAACCGAATGTATGCCATAT